AACACACGTACTGATGTTACAACAATGCACTTAGAGCAGGCACCGCCCACGCACAGGCTCTATGGAAACTGTGGTGTATAAACAGTAATAAAACGCTGATCTCAAAGTCATTTAGGATTTTATGTCTTTACGGCTCCTCTGCTTTGGTTAATCCATTTGTGCACATCAGCTCTCATAACAGACGTTTCCTACTAACACGCCAGTGACATTTCCTTCCTCTTCTGAGAGCTAATATCTGGTAAATTTCGTAATGATGTCGTGTGAGACGGAGAGGGGCTTAGGTGGTGATGAAAGGGCCCATGTTACGCCATGTTCCGTTGTATGTTATAATGTTGTTTAATCATCACAAACAGACCTCCAGTTGTGTTTTGTTTCATTCATACATGTTTAAAACGCTAATTACTGAAGGTGAGTTCTTCTCTCAGACAGAAAACACTCTGTTCCACCTTGTGATGTCACGTGGTAATACAAAAAGTGCTCCTCTGCGTTTTTAAACTCCATACGCCTTCACTAGAATCATTTGGATGATTTCAGCTCTGGAATTGCCAATCTAAATAAACTAAATAAAAAGTAAAAGGTAGCTGTTAAGTTGAAAATTGCTGCTTCATGACATCACAAGGTGGAACAGAGTAATGAAAATCAAAATCAAACATGTGTGATTAAACAAGAACAGAAACAGAACGTTTCAGAATGTTTTTTGAGGAAGTAACAACATTATGACACTGCTAAATAGTGGCGGAGTGAGCAATCTGGGGGCCCTAGGTGAACTTGAGTTTGGGGCCCTAACTATAATGCATCTTTTTTTTTTTTTTTTTTATATCTGTATGTATTTATTTATCCCCATTATTCTTGAGACATGCACATTAGGTTAACATAAGTGTACTCTCAGTCAGAGGCACAAAGTTTTGGACCAGTCTCCCATTATCAATAAGAAAGACTCCAACACTGGACACTTTCAAATCCCACTTGAAACAGCGGCTAAAGGAAAACTAGACTTGTAGGCATTTTTAGTTTAGAACTGTCACTTGTTATTGTTGTTTTTTTCTCAGTTAAATACGTGGTGTTACCTGCCTGGGGACTACAGATGTAAATTAGCCTTCTAGCTCTAATCTGGCATATTTACACTGCAGTGTTGTAGATGTTCATTAATATGCACTGTCCCTATTAAATAAATTAAATTAATAAATAACCAGAAGTGAAAGTAGTTTTATTTTTTTGCTAGTATAATTACATTTTTGTTTACATCCATTACATAGTATTATTGTTATTATTTTCTTATGATTATTGTTTAAAAGTAAACTACTCTCATTTAATGTCATATTGAGAGAAAATCAAAATTGCTCTGAGTTGCCGTGAGGGTAATTGGTTGGGGGTCCCTCCAGGTTTGGGGGCCCTAGGCAGCCACCTACTTTTGCCTAATGGTAGCACCGCCTCTGATGCTAAAAGCTCAAAAGAATCCATTTTGTGTAATACAGGACTTTTAATACTTTTGTTTGGTAACAATAATGTAAGGGTTGGATTTCTGAAGATCTGAACCAGGTGGAGATGGTCAAGATAAGAAAAACTCAAAAACAGAAGTAAACAACGACTAAGTGACGTACACAGAGGTCAGTGTTTCCCATAAATTTGGTTAAGATATTGGTGGCATGGTTGTCATCATCAAAAACATACCTGGAGTTGTGTTTTGTTTCGTTCATGCAGTACATGTTTAACACACAGACCCTGCATATTTAGGCTGAGCTTTCTCTTAAATGGAAAACACTCCACCTTGTGATGTCATGTGGTAATACAGGAAATGCTTCATTGTGTTTTTAAACTCATTTGGATCATTTCAACCATGGAATTGCCAATCTATACTGAACAAAAAAAAAGAACAGAAGGAGCTGTTAACTTGAAAACTGCCACTACATGACATCACAAGGTGGAACAGAGCATTTTGAGCTAAGGAAATGTAGATAAAGTATTAATAAAAGATTACTCAAACATGTGCAAATGAAATAAACCACAACTCCAGGTATGTTTTTGATTTTTGCATAATTTAATCCCATTACATTTTGGAAAATAAATGTCATAAACTGCCTATATTTTAATCATTTTTGATGATAATACAATGAGCAGCAATGTCTAATTTTGTTGTTTTTTTAGACTACAGGGGAGAAGTCAGAAACTCTGGTAGTAATACAATCCAACTTGTGAATGGTGTATATTCACATCAAACGTAGAGAGAAAGAAAATATATATATCTGCATTTTCTAACAGCTCAATGTGATCTGATCTACATGGTTAGCAAGTTTGTACCCCATTATATTCTATGGGACATGTTTTGAATTTGCAGAGGACTTCAAACAACCACAATGGGGATGGGAAATTGGATTTACTAATAAGCTCTGTGCACAACTTCCTGTCCAATTGTAGGCCTATATCCAGGGCAGTAGACAAGGAGGGACAAAGGGGTCTGTTGTCCCGGGCCTCAGGGTCTTAAGGAGCCACAACTGGAACCTATGCCTATTAATTTATGTTGGAAGGGGGCCCACGTGAGGCTTCTTGCCTAGGGACCCCAAATTTCTGTCAATGAGCCAACCGATATCTAGGGTTTTGTGCAAAAAAAATGACAAATATTTAAAGGACAGAGAGACTAAATGTGCAGGGTTTGTGTGTTAAACATGTGAGCTCCAGTTTCTTTCTTTTTTTTTTTTTTTTTTTTTTTGATGATGAAGATGAAGAAACAGCATTATATCATAGATCACAAAATAGCACAATGTGGGCCCTTTTACCACTCCAGCTACTACACAAATGAACTGCCAAAGAATGACTATGGTTGACTTCTTCACTTTCTTAACAACTCTGTGCAAACAAACAGGCGTCTGTAGTTGTGTACATGTGTTACTTTACATTATCCTCCTGTGTCTCTCTGAGAGCGAGAGCCATGATCCAGAGAGGAGAATATGATGTGGACACAGCAGGTCAGTAATGTGTCACACTTGACAGGAGCAGCACAGTCAGGGGTGAGTCTCTCTCCGAACAGAGCCAAAAGGAGCAGAAGGAAACCAGGGACCCCCAGGAGAGCCCGGTCCACAGCAGGTGAACTGTGTACTAACACTACAAAAGGAAGTCTCTGCAGAGAGGAAATGTGCTAATGGATTAATGTGCAACAAAGTGTTTTCAGTTGAGTGCTTACATCTGTGCTATTGTCCATTCACTTCACTTTAGTAGTAACTAAATAAAAAAATAAAAAGTTAAGTATAAAACACGATCCATTAACAGCTTTGTTTAAGTGCAAGTCAGAGTAAAGTTATTGAAACAGCTGAAAGCAGCCGAGCATCTTTTGAAGGAATCTGGAATTGCAAACTGTTTAAGCGTCTTGTAAACAAATGTTTTGACAGAACACATACAATCCTATTTGCACGCACAACTTTGAAGGTGTTTGCAGTTTGAAGCGGCTAATCAAATGCATGCTTTAGATTTTTGCCTTGGGAGTGACTCAAAAACCTTTTCACTTTCCCTTTAGATGAAATATTAAAAGTGAAGTTTCTTTTGTCCAGATTGTATTTTAGATTACACAGTACTCATACTCCAGTAATGTTATTCATTCATATCATTCATTCAAACCCCACTATATCTGTGCTAGTTGGTGTCAATTTTAAAGAAACTTTTGTCTTGGGCATCGAACAATCAAATAAAAGGGGATGACGCATGGTTCTGGCAAAAGCTGTGAAGCTTTCATAGCCCCAACCACAAAGGCTCAGCAGTGCTCCGTTCTTCATGTGAGTTTCACTCCACAAGAACAGAGCTCCAACAGCAGCTCAGCAGCTCAGCGTGCAGTCAGAGCCAGGCGTTACAAATAATGAGAAGGTTCAACCAGTGCCGACGCCCCGCACACAGGCACATTTACGCACAGAGCGAAGGGCACCAAGTGCTAGCAGGGTCACCACCAAAAAATCTGACTCGTGAATCCTCACAAAACTATCCATCCAAAGTGCATGGAGAGAAGCGAGAAGCCGGTGCCAGTGCGAACAGAATCCCCAAAAACTCTTTCTCTGTCTCTCCCTCTTCCTCCCTTACTTTGTCTCTCCCACTATCTCTCTCCCTCGGTGTCTGGACCTCCACACATACCAGCAGATAGAGTCTTTGCTCTGTGTTTGCAATGTTCAGTTCAATGTTCAGTCTGCAGTCACTGCACAAATTTATGTTTATAATATTTTTTTTATTTATTATAACCTTTTTTAATAATTCATTATTTAAAATTTCATGTTTGATGTTATTGTTTTAGAAATAAAGTGACTTGCACTGATAAATTCTGAATTATTGTTCATCCCAGGCGGGGCAGGGCGAGTTGGTGTGGTGCGCACCACAAAGCATTTGTGCTTAGGGCTCCCAAATGGCTAGCAACAGCCCTGGGTTCAACAATTGTGGATCAGAATTTTGGAGATATCTTTCAAAAACAGTATAATAGCTATAGAGTTATATAGGCCTCTGCCATCCACCTCATTTATGGGCCTGCCACAAAAACACATGTTGAAGTGTGATCTATTGTAATCAGTAATACTGAAATCAAACCATAAAGCAGAATTGTCCCCAAAAAGTATTCTACATCTACAAAATTGTAAAAAAAAAAAAAAAAAAAAAAAAAAAAAAAAGAACTGCCATACAGAACAGAAGTTCATAATATAAACCTCTACTGCTCAAATCTCATTGTAGTACAGAAAAATGGCACAAAATTTCCACTAGCACAAAGAAAAAGAGGAAAACCTCCATGGGCCTATGAATGGACTACCTCTCTATATTTGATGCCTACTCATTTTAATATGAGACACTTTTACAGTAAGGTGCGTGCGTTCTCGGTTTCGTGTGGGAACTTCCACCACAGACCTGCCCTATTTGAACAGAAACTTCTTGTCCTCTTTGATATTACAGATTTACCAAAGCACGAGCTACAGGCTGCACATTCATCCACAAAGCACCCACAGATCACCCAGAGTGACACAAAAACTGGAACTTACTGGCAGCTTTGATAAAGCTCCTCTGATACTGGTAAGTCATCAGTGGAGCTGGCAGCATTCTGTAAACACAAACAGAAACAGCAATCAATGACTAAGCATAAGGAAAACTGAACATTTAAATTGTGTTTTCGCATTTGCATTATAACTTCTATCTATCATTGTATGTACCTCAATATAGCATTTGTTTATGAAAGAATGAACAGTTGCTTTGAATCAAATCATTGTGTAAATATGCATTATTATTTAAGCTGTTTTCTGATCAATGTTATAATGTTGTTTCCTCATCAAAAACATACTCTATTTTTTTGGACTATAAGTTACACTTTTTTCATGGTTTGGGTGTTTCCTGTTACTTATACTCTAGTGCTATTTATATATTAAAATGTTCACACTGACAGCCGTGAGAGAGCGCTCAAGGCTTGTGTGTCAGTGTCTGCTGCTCCTATTACTTCTGTACCACTGTCACTTCATTCTACTGCACGTCTCCTGCAGAAAGAGCCTCTGTCCTGCTGCAAGTAGTGAAACTGTAATCCAGCAGCAGAAAGAAAGTTTGGAGTGAAAGAGAAACTTGTGAGGAACTGGCGGAAAGTGAGGATGAAGAACACAGCTTCACGGTAAGCGGAGGGTGCACCATGCAACTTTCCTGGAAGTCAGTAGATGGATGGACAAAGCCTGGACTTCAGTGACAACCGCATCCAGTCGAGATTCAGAAAGGCCGGAATAATTACCTCTGTCAAGGAGGTTAGTTTGTCTGTTTGTTTGTTTGTCTGTTAGCAACATATCTGATGAAATTTTCAGAATGATTTCTGGATCCGGAAAATCCAAAATCCTGGTCCATGAATTTGATCAGGGATGGACAATGGGAAAAGGCTGATCCCTGATCCAGAAATGATTTTCTGTTCTTGGAACTGGAACTGATGCTGAGTCTGATGACAGCTACACAGAAGAGGAAGCGCCGCTCTGTTTACCTCCGGAGGTCACGGAGTTGCTCAGAAGTGACACCGAGGATGAAGAATTCAAAGGATTTAGTGATTTGGAAAGAGATGAAGAGTTTGGTAAACTTGTTCTGTTGTTTATGCTACAGTTATCTGACTAAGTGTTCATATGTCGGTTCCTGGTCTCTGATTTAAAAAAATGTATTTCCCCCAAAAAGTGCGACTTATAGTCTGGTGCAACTGATATGTTTTTTCTTCTTTATTACACATTTTATGGCTGACTTACTCCGGAGCGACTTACGGTACCTGGAGTTGTGTTTCGCTTCATTCACACGTTTAACACACAAACTCTGCATATTTAGACTGAGCTCTTTTCTTAAACAGAATTGCCAGACTCTACAACAAATGTTTTGTAAAAAGTAGCTGTCAACTTGTAAACTACCGCTTCACGACATCAGAAGGTCGAACAGAATATTTTAAGCTTTGGAGATGCAGACAGACTAAAAGGGTTGCTCAAACATGTGTGAATGAATCAAAACACAACTCCATTTTTAGTTACAGTCTAAATGTCTAATTACTAGAAAATCACACTGCGAGAGCTCTGCGTTAAATTTTTCTTCCTAGTACTGAGCAGTTCAAAGCAAAATTGAGTAAAGTAACTATATTCTGAATACCACCAAATGAAAGAGTAACTGTACCGGAATACAGGTACTCAAAATTAGTATTCAGAGCAGGTATTTGTGATGTATTATTTAGTTACTTTCCAATACTGACCGTGGTCTGATCTTTTCTCTATCCGTTTGAATGCTAGCACGCACAGCTGGACATGACTTTATCCCAGTGCTTAGTTGGGTTTTTATGGCTCCCGCTGGTTTTCAATGACCTCAAAGCTAATCCTCCCTGCACAATGTGTGGCAATGAATCCTTCCATTAACCTTACACTGACTGTCTGTTAAACATCCATTTTGGTTTGTGTATTTGCATAAAGGAACGCTCAGTTGCTCATACTATACTCTTTTATACGTCTTTATGTAGCTATAGTTTAGTTCACATATGTTACATCAACACGCAGCATGGGCACCCCGGCTTTGAGAGCCTACCCACAATGCTTTTCAGCTCCACTTAATAGGTCTACTTCTGTTCCGTTACAATGAAACCAAGCCTGAGTTGAAGTACTTTATAATCACGCTGAAGAGGTGCACAAGTGGGTAGATGTATGTATGGCTTGCGTTATAAAACAGGGAATCTTGCCTTTTGTAACTGAAAGATAAAAATAACATATACAGTTGGATACAAAAAAAAAAAAAACATCCAGGAAATGGAGAATAATTTTAAAATGGTCTATAGCAGGACAATGAAAAGTCAAATTGTTCATCGAAGTTAAGATGCCCATAAATTTCCGCCCCGACCTGTAGCTTGGAGACCCTTGGAGGGATTCCTGAATTACTGTATTTCTCGGACTATAAGGTGCACCAGAATAATGTTGAATTCTCTCATCTATTTCCATACATAAGACACACCGGATTATAAGACACATTAAACGAAAGAGACTGATCCCTTAGCCCAGGCGTCCACGATCCATTAGCAGATCGTGGTGTAAATCGCTCGGCATTGCCTCCCTGTTTTGGTGAATGTGCATTATGAATGTGAATGTGGGTGGAGAATTTAAGTTTTTTTTTTTTTATTTCCTAGGAGTAGGACTCAAATATACATTGAGTAATAATGTGCTAAATGCAGCTTTGCCCACATTTGTTTACGTTTTACAGAAACAAAACTTAAAACCACATGGATAATTTGCGTAAACTATAAGCACTGAAAAAAAAACAGCTTGCTCCTTGTGCGCTGATGCGGTTCAGCTTCTGTCGGATTCCGCGAGGTTCCTGACTACAGTAGCCGAAATGCTCCGACAATCCATCAAGAGGTGCGGCGCTGTGCAGAAGTAATACATAAGGTGCACCGGATTATAAGGCGCACTGTCGATTGTTGAGAGAATTAAAGGGTTTCAAGTGCGCCTTATAGTCTAAAAAAATACAGTACATATATTGTGATGAACTAAAACTGGATTTTACTATTGTAAAACTGTCATTTCTGTGCTTAAAGGGACAGTTCAGAATTTTGAACATAGGGCCTCATTTCCTAGTGAGCCAGAGTGATGGAGACGTGTGGAGACACTTTTTAAAATATTCCATCCAGTCCTTGTATTTACAAAGGTCACTGGTGCTAGACTAGCGCATGTCAATGGCCATAGTTAGACTGTCACTAAGAACATTTTTACCCACTCCACAAAACACCCGAAGCAAATCTTTTATTACACCAGACTGTCGATGTAAATGTCTTGTATTGATAGAATAATGTTTGAAATAAAACTAACCTTGCATCGCACGAATCATTGCATGTTGAGGGACTATTTTCTCATATATCAGTCCGCAAGCTTTCTATCAGGAAGACCAACAACTCGCTGCTGCTGCTCAGACATAAATCCTTCAAATGTAAGGTTGGTTTTACTTCTACAATTATTCTGTCGACACAGACATTTACATCAACAGTCTGGTGTAATAACAGATTTGCTTCGGGTGTTTTGTGGAGTGGGTAAAAAATGTTCTTAGTGACAGTCTAACTATGGCCATTGACATGCACTAGCCTAGCACTAGCGACCGCTGCAAATAAAAGGCTGGATGGAATTTTAAAAAAGTGTCTCCACATGTCTCCAACACTCTGGCTCACAAGGAAATGAGGCCCTATGTCCAAAATTCCGAACTGTCTCTTCAACTTTGTGCACTAATAAATGGACAATGGCTTATGTTGTATAGGCATCTATCTGTACCTCATCTAAGACTCACTGCAGCTTTCATATACTGAATACTCAACTTCTCGTGACCGCTAAAATGAGAAGGTCTAGTATCCGTGGTCTAGTCTAAAGAACTGAGCCAGCATGATCTTTATAAAATAAAATAAAAAAACTGCTCCATGGAGCTACTGTGATAACAAACTGTCAGACAAAGCAATAACATTTCCATAGAGACTGGCAGACCCTTCACTAGAAAGGTTGTACAATGCAGCAAATTATAATAAATGGTGGATTTTGTACGGATATGAAATGGAATGAATGTGCTCAATTCAAGTCCTGGATAAACACAGTGATATGTCATTTCTTTGCTCATTCATACCTGAGATAGAACTTGATTGCACTTGTGATGGTCTTGATCTCCCACTCTGTGCTGTCCAGTTCAACGTCAGCACATGTTTTGGGATCTACAAGACAGAGCAAAACAAAAACTTTACACATTTACCCTGAAAAAAGGCCCACATTTTTGAAAAATCTTGAAAATTACCCATCGCTAAGCTCAGTAGTTTTTGGACTTTGGAACTCACGCCAACGATTCTGTACAAGCCTTGTTCATCAATACCTGAAAAAAAAAAAAAAAACATGGATAAATGAGTGTTGAATCTCTAATGAATTGCATTGTTTAGTTTTCACATATAAGTAGATTCCCTGTATATATTTGAATGACTAACGGAGCTAACAAACACAGAGGTACTTGAAAGCACTTAAGTGACATAAAATGGACTGATCGATGAGCGGGCTGAAAGCTCACGGCACCGTTACAAATATAATTATCAGGAATAACGCCACTCCTCCAAGAGTGTTGTTTTGCTCTACATAACACAAAACATAACAGTATCAATTAACCAGGAACAACGCACAACAAACGAGTACAGGTAATTGAGCAGGAAAAAAGTCGAGTGAAATATTGCTAATTTGTATGGTGTTACTTTTGTCTCATTAATATTCACAAATACGCAAATGGTGATCTATAATTAGTCATTGGTTTGTACATGTGTTTTGATATACACAAATGCAACTTTAATATTTGTAACTTGTAGGGATGTAGCAATAACCGAAATATCGTGATTTCGTATCGTCAAAGTTATCACAATAATATCGTGGGCCATAACAATATATCGAATTACAAGACTCTTTGCTTAAATTAAGAGTTATGATGCAACGATAGCCAAAATAAAGACAGAGGGAACTACATAGACCATGATCCTTTGCATTTTAGTGTAGACTATGTGAAGAAATAACAGTTCTAAGCACTTTTAAGTCTTAGTTCTTTGGATTCAGTCTTTTCAAGGAGGAAAAAGTCGCATATTCGAGAGATTTGGATATTGTTTCCCTAATCGTAAGTTTTCCCACGATATCACAATAAATATCGTACCGTGAGGTTCATACCGTGACGATATCATATCGTGAGACGTGAATATCGTTACACCCCTAGTAACTTGTATTTTAGTATTTACTAGGGGTGTAAGGATATCCAAGTCTCACGATACGATATCGTCACGGTATGAACCCCACAGTATGATAATTACTGCGATATCGTGGGAAAGCTCACGATTAGGGATGTAACAATATCCAAATCTCTCAATACGATATTTATTGCGATATTTTGTGGAGGCGAACAAAACTGAATATGCTCCTTTTTCCTCTTAAAATGCCTTGACAAGACTTCCAAAGAACTAAGACTTTAAAGTTCTTAGAGCTGTTATTTCTTCATGTAGTCTGCACTGAAATGGAGCAAAAGATCATGGTCTATGTAGTTCCCTCTGTCTTTTTTTTAGCTATTGCTGCATCATAACTCTTAAATTTACTTGTAATTCGATATATTGTGATGGTCCATGATATTATTGTGAGAACTTTTACGATACAATATCACGATATTTCGGTTATTGTTACATCCCTCGTATTTACAAATAGATTTGTAGTTGTAAATATATATTTTTTCATTTGCAATTTGCTGGTATGACATAATTTTGAGACACTCATTTTGAGAAATCCACAAACTCAAACAGATCCACAAATAGCCGACATGTCCTTGTAAATACCAAAATACAAGTTAGAAACATTAAAGTTGCATTTGTGGATATCAAAACACTTGTACAAACCAATGACTATTTTTAGATCACCATCTGTGTATCTGTGAGTATTAATGAGACATAAATTAGAAACTTCAGAGACAAAGTAGACGAAAATCACTTGGAAAATAAGGTTAGTCTGTTCCCTCGGCTGTGGAAAATAGATTGATAATGAGTATAATGATACTTTCAGATCAAGATAAAAAAAAAAGTTAGAAGAAAATCTGGTTTGGGCTGCAACATAAAATTAAACTGTAGTTATTATAAAGCTTAAAGGCGCCCAGTGAAACTTTTCTGGTGGGGGCCGTCATCTGCTTTTTTCCGTGGAGATTTTGTTGTCTTACTTGGAGTGTTTGTATTGGAGGTGTGTATCTCCATGGCAACAAGCAGGTGATGCAAACAGGTGAGATCGAGTGTTTAGAGAGGCAACGCCGCTCACATACCAAACGTCTCAGCAAACGTCTCATTTTGAGTTTGGCGTCTTAAAAATATGTCCGGCTTTATGTAGTAAAACTCACCAGTGCAATTTATTTCTATTGCCGGGTTTCAGATGACATCTCTGACAGATTTTTGATGTTTTGTTGTGGTTTACGCTTTTTGCATTTCATTAAAACAGACTTAAAACAGAAAATCCCTTAAAAATATGTGTCTCGGAAATATACTTTTCTTGACAGTGTGAGACCTGCTGAAATGGAGGAGATTTTATGTTTTTATCACATTTAATTTGAGTTTCTGTTCCAACTTTGAGCAAACCAAATGCAAAAAAAGTGGCTAGAAAAATTAAGAAATCAACTGAACTACTTCAAATCAGCTAAATTCTTTTTACAAAATCACTACATTTCATCCTTTAATTGTTCTAAAAAAATATCAGCAAAATACTTTTAAGTACATGTTTAAAAATGTACTTTATTTAAGAAGATTTTTAGTTGTGGCTTATGATTTTTTTGCATTTCCCTAAAACAGATTTAACTTTTTTTTTTGCCTTCTTTTTTCCCTTCTTTTTCTTCGTTGGGTTGATGAGCGGCCTCAAATTTTTCTCCGTAAAGTCATCCATGTCAGCAGCACCGTTCATCACCTGGAGGAAGCTCTGAAAATCCCTTAAAATTATGTGTTTCTGAAATGTGCTGGACCTCATGTTCCTCAACATTCCTCTAATGTTCGGGAAGTTTAAAGTTATCCTGCCTCTTGCATCTGCCCATCACAAATTCTTTGGCTTTGGACATAACTTTTGTCTTCTCTGCTGGTTTTATGTCCTTACTTTGCGATGTTGATGGTTGAGATTCTGAGAGATTTGGGTCTGACTGAAGGCCCCTCGTGCTTGCTAGTTTGTGTTTTTGTGCTCAGGTTGGGCTTGACCTGCGTCTTTTTAGTCTGTTTGGTCTCCTCTGCGGGAATAGTGCAGGGAGGACGATATTTTTGTAGCCAGGCTGGTGCCACCTAGTGCCTCCACTCGATTTCATATCTCTCCAGCAACTAGGTCCGGAATCAGAATACACTAAACCGCGCACCGGCCAATCAGCGAAGAGCTGTGAAGCCATGACGTCAAACTCAAGCGCCTGTCTGGGTCCCTTTTGTGGTACAACACAACAGTAAACAAAGGGGTCAAGATGGATGTAGAAGAAACCATACATTCTGTCTTGGCAACGATTCCCGAGATCGAGGATTTAAAGCCGGAACAAAGAGAATGTTTGGTGAATTTTATCAAGGGGAAAGATATTATTGCCCTTCTTCCTACGGGATTTGGTGCATTACATATGTCACAACCAATGCTGTGAGGTCAGACAGTTTCCACAAAGTGAAACCAGCTGATGAATCAGGCTAATACTTTTGGAAGATGTGCCCTAATGTTTAAAATAAGATCATATGTTCACAGTCCATGTTGGTTGGGGATTCAAAAAATATCACCTGTTACTCTGCTGGTTTCTATTTGTTTCAGTTTTAATATCAACACATTTTGAAGCTCTATCACTTTCTTATACCCAATATATTTTAATTGTAATTTTGCATATCTTAAAAACAATTATTATTATGTTTTTATCTCACAGATGTTCCACCAGATGTATTTATTTGTAATCTCTATCACTTTAAACAGAAAAAATACTGAGTGAAATAGTGATATAAGAAGCTCTGCTCTCACTGCCTGAGTACTATGCCTTTTTACGTCAGTTTGATTTCTACTTTGGTTGTTCACAATAATAGACTTTTATAGTAGTGGCTGCAGCTGACCGCACTAAATCAACTGTATAGAAATAAAGTGCACCGGCCTTTTCTTCTCTATATATAAAGCAGAAATATTTTTTAAACTCTAAACTCATAATAGTACGTTTGCTGATAGGTTTTTGATATTACAGGATCTGGGAAATTGCACTGACCGCTGACATTTTATACTGTGTACTATAACACACACGGAACTTGTATGTGTTTTTTTTCTGATAGAATACAAGAATACAACTACAGGAAGAGTGGTACCTCTCGTCTCCACAGCATAGATAAACTTCTTCATCACATTGAAGCCAATCACGTCCAGATGGGCCACTGCAGGACAGAAGACACTTACAATATGTCTCATTGCACCTACTAACAGTAAGAAGAGGTAGAAGTACAATACTTAAGTACAAATTTTATGTATCTGTGCTTTACTTAAGAGCATTTTACAGAGGATACTTTTTCCTGTTACTTCACTACATTTGAGAGCATGTATCTGTACTTTCTACTTCACTACATTTTAGCTCTGGACCGACAGGTAAAAAGTACTGTGCTGAAATGGCGGAGTTTTATGTTTTTATCACATTTAATTTGAGTTTCCGTCCCAACTTTAAGCAAACCAAATGCACAAAAGTGGCTAGAAAAATTAAGAAATCAATCAAATCACTACATTTCATTCTTTAATTGTTCAAAAAAAAAAAATCTCTGTAAAATACTCTTAAAGTACCTGTTTAAAAATGTACTTTACTTAAGAAGATGTTTTTATTGTTATGTGATACTTTTACTTTTACTTGAGTGACTTTTAACCATTGTATCTGTACTTTTGCTTAAGTAACAAAATTGAGTACTTCATCCACCACTGACAGTAAGTACATGACAAGTTTTATACTTTATATTATACAAGACAAGATTTAAAGATGGTACTTACTGCCCTCTGTATGGTTGTCTTTGTTTAGATTGTAAACCTGTGAAACATAAACAAGAACGTAAAGACTTATATACTGCATTTTTATTTTAAACATATACAGAGCTTATTATACACAGGTGAGAGACCGAAATGCATGAAGTTGAAGTTACTACTAAAAAGCTGGTGAATTCTGACACTTGTATTGTATAGGACTGTTTTGGAGCTTTACCCTGCACATTGGATATAGACCAAGTCAACATGTAGCATAGTTGAGTAGTAGTGATAAAAATAATCTCAATTTAAAGAGCATATGATGGGTAAGAACACTCATTTCCTTAAATTCTAGATTTGAAATTTGACCAAAAATCATGCCTAGTGTTTTTGCATTGGTAAAGTCAATTGTTTTACTTCCCGGTTGGACACGAGCAGCTGATATGATATGCAGGTAATCCTATAACAGTTACCTAGCAACCATAATGCAACAGTGACCAAAATTATGCAAAATTAACACTTATAATTACAGTAATAATAACAAAGGTGGGACCAAGTCGTTGTTTTACAAGTCTCAAGTCTTTGACCTCAAGTCCAACTCAAGTCCCAAGTCAAAGACAGGCAAGTCCAAGTCGAGTCTCGAGTCACTAACCCATAAGTCCAAGTCTGCAGCTTATATACATTTTAAATTAAACTGTACTTAAAAAGTCACAGTATATTTATATATGAGTATTTATATAAGAGTTGTAGAAATGTAAATTTTTCCTTTTTAAATGTCTTGACAAGACCTTAGTGTGAATCATTACCGTCAGACGAATTAAGATTTAAGAGCATTTATTTAACAGTTATTTTGTCATGTAGTTTGCACTGAAATGGAAGGATCATGTTCTATGTAGTTCCCTCTGTTTTACTGTTGTTCTGTATATTACTGTGTATTGTACTGTATATTACTGTGTTGTACTGTATATTACTGTGTTGTACTGTATATTACTGTGTTGTACTGTATATTACTGTGTTGTACTGTATATTACTGTATTGCTTAGGTGGGACCAAGTCGTTGTTTTGCCAGTCTCAAGTAAGTCTCAAGTCAAATCCCAAGACAAGTCCAAGTCGAGTCTAGAGTCACTGGCCTATAAGTCCAAGTCAAATCCAAGTTGTCTGCTTTGAGCTTCAAGTCATTTCAAGTCTTTAAAATACGAAATATAGGTTAGATTTCTGCCGTTTATATACATTTTAAATTAAACTGTCCTTAAAAAGTCATGATATATTTATATATGAGTATTTATATAAAAATGTTTAATAACAGTTATTTTGTCATGTAGTCTGCACTGAAATGGAAGGATCATGTTCTATGTAGTTCACTCTGTTTTACTGCTTTGTACTGCATTGTACTGCATTGTACTGTATTGTACTGCTTTGTACTGCATTGTACTGCATTGTACTGCATTGTACTGTATTGTACTGCATTGTACTGTATTGTACTCTACATTACTGTAGTACATTTGACGATACCATCTCACAGTACTTCAGTTACATCCAAAGTAACAAACAGAAGTGGGAGGGACATGTTTCAGTTTGTTCCTGTAAAATTCAACATCGCATTTATCAACTGTAAAAAAAACATTTTTTTCTAAAAACATATATATATATATTTTTTTTTTGTAGAAGCATCAAGTCTTCTCAAGACACAGGCCTCAAGTCAGAATCAAGTCCCAAGTCATTGACCTTCAAGTCTAAGTCGAGTCTCAAGTTTGTTTTATCAAGTCCTATCAAGTCTCAAGTCCTAAAAATAGTGACTCAAGTCTGACTCAAGTCCAAGTCACGACTTGCAAGTCCCCACTTCTGAATAACACATTTATTTTGTTAAATGAAGCTGTCAGAAAAAATATCTTTCTTACATTTTCAGTGTTGGTGACATAGACAGAGGATTCTTTTTTTTTGTACTTTAGTTCTCACTTTTTTATCCACAAACTGCAGCTGAACAGAAATAAAACTGTGATAAATACTGACCACAGGTACAATCCAACCAAACCAAAAATCAGAGAACATGAAAACGTGTCATTTGCACCAGCTGTTAAATTTTTATTGCTTATCACTTCCCTTTGTTGCTAGGGTGTTTTCAAATTCAGTTTTATTAGCTTACACCAGCCGGTTAGTCTCGTCTCTCTTTTCTCTCTCTCTCTCCTCTTTCTCTTTCTTGTTCCATCTCTCTCTCCCATCTCCACCCCTCCTCCTCTCCCCTCCCTCTCTCCTTCTCTCTTTATGAAGTGGACAAACGCGTCGTCATGGTAACTCACCGGCTCCCGTCCGTCCATGGCCTCCATCCACAGCCTGCGGTCCTCCTCCGACAGCGCCTGCATGGTTATTACCCCGGGCCTTCAACACAAGCACACGCGCGCTAATGCAATCATCAAATGTCAAGACAAACATGACAGAAAATAGATCCTCGCGCGTCTCCATGGGAAAATCTACAGCTTTTTCTGACAGGTCAAATCTAATAAGACAGGGAAATTATGTTGCAGCAGTGGACAGGGACTTTCATATGAATTTTCTTCTTTGAAAATGGAATGCAAAATTGACTCTTGTGAGCTTTAAAATGTTGTTACCTCATCAAAAACAGACCTGGAGTGGTGTTTTGTTTCATTCACACGATGCGATGTCATCAAGTGGTAGTTTTCAAGTTAACAGCTACATTTTACTTTTTTTTTAAGTAGAGATCCGCAATTACAGAGCTGAATTGATCCAAATGATTCTAGTGAAGGTGTGTGGAGTTTAAAAACACAGTGGAGCTTCCTGTATTACCACATTGTTACAAACCAGTGCTAGGGGCAAAGGAAAGTAACACAAACAAGATGTGTAAGTAAATGTAAGTAACTACAATAATACCAAAATGGAGGTTTTACCATAGTCTGTATAAAAAAAGTGGATTAAGTGATCGTGACGTCACCCACATCGTTCAGCGCCGCTCAAATGAAGCTCGCGATGCTCACGGTTACAGGAGCGAATCTGAAGCCAGACTCTATGTTATGAAAATGATTTTTTTGGATAGACAAAATAGCGAGAAAAAAAAAAAAAAATCAGTATCATGTAGAGCAGGGGTGTCAAACTCATTTTGGATCCAACCTACTTTGATCCCAAAGGGGCCGGAACAGAAAACTCATGGCATATAAACCCCAAAAATATCAATAAGTTCAAATATTTGTGCAGAGAAACACAAATCTATTACAGAAATCTTTTTTAATTGATGAACTCTTTCTTTTACAAAATATTATAATATTATGAACAACCTGAAACTTTAAGAAAAATGTAATTTCAACACAATGTTTTAACATGAACTTGTATGCAAATAGGAATAAGTCAATTTTTCTTGGAAAATCCTGCACTCTGCTCCATTTTTCTCATTTGTGACATTTTGCTGATGAGGGTGTCAAGGTCAACAGTCAAAACAATCGTCCTTTAAGAGCGTTTGGAAAGAGGCAAGTCTTCATTTGTGCTGCTCTGATGGGAGGGGCCACATACAGAGACGCTGGAGACGCTGCTATGCTAAGCGCTGCAGAAAATTACCAATATTTTAATAGAAAATATAATAAAAATATTTTATTAGAAAACCAACTGAGGGCCAGATTAAAGGTCTTGGAGGGCCGGATCTGGCCTCCGGGCTGTATGTTTGACACCCCTGATGTAGAGCGTGTTAATACCAACATTTTAAGACCAAAATGACGAAGCTCACAGCAGCAGTTACAGAGAGAGGAGCCACAAGATCCCAGTGTAAGTCAACCGGAGTCAGAGTCAGAAGGAGCATATCCACTCATCTATATGGTCTATGGGTTTTACATAAAATTAATAAATCTGAATTTTCAATACAACTAAACAATATTCTAAATGGATAAGGCTAAATTAAAAAAAATACAAATGCACAAAGGCCGAGTCGCACTGGCAATACAAAGTTAAGTGGCTAATGACTTCTAGTGTCTCAAACATGAATTACACAAGGAGATACAAGCGACACATCTAATGACACTGAAATCCAGCCGCCCGGAGGAACTGACACACGAGACTTTTATTGGACGAGGGGCCGGCGGATCAGGAAGGGGATAGGAGGAGCGGGACGTCAATCCTCCAACCGCGGCACAACGGACATCGGAGCCAGCTCAACAGTGATGGCACCGCACCCCAACAACCAGGTGCCAGGTACCACACAGCACATGCAAATTCACAAGGCACAAGCGGTGACACAAACGGGGAGCACTGGGAAAGGCGGAGCCAGGTCGCGAGCTGTAACACACATGACATCACAAGGTGCAACAGAGTATTTTCTGTTTGAGACAAAAACTCATTTGAAATATGTGTGAATGAAACAAAAACATCTCCAGGTATGAAGGTCTAGAAGGGGGAAACATCATAATAACAGATCAGAAAATAGTGTAATATGGGGCCTTTAAAGGAGCACAGTGTCACTTTTCTGCTGTCATCTGTCGTCTGCTTGTTTCCATGGAAATGTAATTGTTTTGCCTAGAATACTCCACAGTACAACTTTAAATTTGTTCAATTAAAGGTGCTTTTATTGCTAAAAAAATAGAACACAGTGAGAAACAGCCATTCTTTCTGGGAGAGGATTCGCCTCTCCACAGAGCTGATTTTTCTCTCAGTGTTCCACCTTATGATGTCATGTGGTAATACAGGAAGCGCTCCACTGTGTTTTTAAACTCCGCACACCTTCACTAGAATCATTTGACTCAATTCAGCCCTGGAATTGCCAGTCTCTACCGAACAAAAGGTAAAGGTAGCATTTAACTTGAAAAATACCACTTCATGACGTCACAAGACAAAACAAAGCATCTTGAGCTTTGGAGATGCAGACAGACTAATAATAAAGTGTTACTCAAACATGTGTGAATGAAACAAAACACAACTCCAAGTATGTTTTTAATGAGGTAACAACATTTTAAAGCTCACAAACTTTAAAATGTTGCTCTGTTTAAGGTAAAAATCATACTCTATTTGTATATAAAAATGTTCATAGCTTAAGTATCAGCCCATATCTCGTAATTTTGATCTTAAAATGTTCATATTAACTCATCCAACATGATCCGGGCGTTTTTATGTTGTGCATAAATAATTTCTTAATCCTAATATGGAACTTGGCTCTAACTCCACTTCTCTAACTGCTAGTCTCTGTGAGCTTCACTTGACTGGAGCCGAACGCGATGGTTGACGTCACGCTCCCTTACTCCACTTAGTCACCTGCTTGTCTCCGTGGTTGCCTGAAATGTTCCACAGTAAGGCATTAATCATATTCATTTTCCATTTGTCCAATTACATGTTTTATTGCTAAACAGGGCTGAAGAATTTGAGAAAAAATATCTACGAGCGAGTTTTCTGACCATCACTGTGATTGGACGGGCAATAATTGGATTCTGTTATACAAAAACTGAAATCTAAACTGACAAACTAATACAGGGTTTGGCAGTTTTTATTTACGCAGAATAAGAAAAGGGAGATTTTGTTGTACGTGGAGGAAATAATGGTACTTTCAACATCTTTGCAATTTCTTAATTTTATCCATTCAAACTGCATTTTTTTAATAGATTGTGATGAATCATCTTGCAGCCCGATTGCTAAAAATATAACACCTTGACTTTTATTGGAGTGGGCTCAACTTGCCACGTATCAGACTTGTAACTCGTGCTGGTGGCGTCATGTGCTTGTTTCCACGGCGATTGATGAGTTGAAAGTCATCCTGCGGAACCTTCAGTTTTATCGCCGCCTATTACATTTTTATTGCTTCATGAATCACTAAGGTCTTTTCAGAATCATAAGTTTAAAGTCACACTGTGGAACCTGTGATTTCATCGCCAACCGTTTGGATTTTTATTGTTTATTTAATCGTTTCCGTTTGTTGCTATGGTGTTTTCTAAATCATACCTATAAAAGTCATAGTGTGGAACCTCCAATTTCATAACCAACTGTTACATTTTTATCACTTATTTTATCACTTTTGTTTGTTGCTATGGTGTTTTGAAATCCATACTTAAAAGTCATACTGTGGAACCTTCAATTTCATCACCGACTGTTGCATTTTTATCGCTTATTTAATCACTTTTGTTTGTTGCGTTGGCGTTTAAAGTCATACTCTGGAATCTTCTAGCTGAAGCGGCTGCAAACCCTTCACCGGAAAACTAACCCTAAACTCCTCGGGTGTATTGGTTGAATATTAATCTGATTGTTGTTGGGATTGTTTGCGTCAGATGCCCTTCCTCAAGCAGTCTTCTTAACTTTTCTTGTTTTACTGTAATTATTCAGGGCTTCAAGTGCAACAGAGCACAACAAACATGTCTCTTATTGTTTATCTGTTAGGTTGATCTAAGTCCGAGTCTGGCTCAGACCCAGAATAGCTCCGTGTCTGTTGATGATGTCCCTTTTGTCTATCACAAAACATTCAAATGTATGGAGCGAATGAGAGCAGGTAAGAAGAGTGGACAGAGAGAGAGAGAGAGAGAGGAAGGAGGGAAAGAGGGTAGACAAGATATGGAAGGAGGAGTAGAGTCTGTTAGTGCCGTTCATGAGCAGAAAAACAGCTCAGCAACGCCCTCATGTGCCTGAAATATTACTACAACACCACTGAAAACGTTCTGATAATGGAACGTATGAGAGATCGGCACAAAAATAAAGAATAAACACTCACCGGTCAACAGCCTCCACGTCAAAACAAAACCTCTTTTCAATGGAGTCGCTTTTCCTTCGAGTGCAAGATTTGAGAATAAAGCTTTCCTCCTCTCCCTAAAAATATAGATTAAACATTAAACATATCAGAAATTAAGCAAAGTAAGATTATATAAGGATTCAACTTTTACCATTTTTCCTCCTGATTTAGGGTCAAAAAGAACCATCGTGATCCTCTTGGGCTCCCTGTGATATGTGCAGTAGTACTTCACCCAGGTAGATACAAACGAACCTGCAAGAGCAAAGAAGAACTCTATTTCCATTTATTGTAATAACAGAGAATTATAATGTTAACAGCAATAGTTTTTAAAAATGAATGTTTCAAAAATAAGATGTTCTGAAATCTTATTTTTATGGTAAGTTAAAATATGACAACAATCACGAGAACACCTGAGAGATTTGGTAGCACTGAAAAAAAGACACCTTTAAGCCAGGTTTGCGATTTTTGTCCCTTTCTGAGCCAATTTTTCACTTGTTTTTGGGATCAGGTTGAGTTTTGGCTTAATTGCACGTCGTACTTCGTGTAGTATACATGGGGTAACAAGAACCGATGAACGTTTCGCACTGTTGAAGTAGTTCGTACAGTGTGAGAACATGAATCGTGAGCAGTGAACTTTTAAACCTTGCGATTTGGTCGTACAGTTTGAGTTGAGTTTGGGGCTGAGCGAAAAACGATCGAAAATATCGCACAGTGTATGTCTGGCATTAGGGTTTGTAGTCAGACACACGTGGCTGTCATCAAGGCAGTGCTGAGTGATGTCACCAAGCACTAGAAACTGCAGAGGTGATTTAGATGTCTCTTATCACAAAGTTGCAAATTTGCACTAAAATTACAAACACAAAAAAATCTAGGTAATACGAAAACACCATATGCCCGTTACTCTCTTCCTGTCTTCTCATATACAGTGTTGGAAAGTAACTGAATACATGCAACGAGAATACATGTTCAGAATACAAATTTTGAGTAACTGTATTCAAGTAGCGTTTGTTTACAATCACTCTTTCATTTGGTTACTATTTACTTTGCTCAAATCAAATTAATACATTGCAGTACTACACAATTTAGGCTTCAAACTTTACATTACAAGTAAGAAAAATATAAAACACTGTTCTTGCAGTGAGGCATGTGCGACTATCCTTCTCCTGTTATAGGAAATGTATCAGAAGCAGTGAAACAAATATAAAACAGTTTTTAATGCTATCTTGCATCCTTACTCTGTAATTTAAATGCAACTTGATGTAAAAGTAGTAGTAGTAGTAGTAGTAGTAGTAGTAGTAATGTAAAGTATTCAAGAATGCAGTACTCTGATTGGGCCATGTATTAAAATATGTTACAAAATACATTTTAATTCAAGTATTCAGTATTCTGTAAATAAATAACATTGTGGCAAAGGAGAAATTCAAATTGTTAACTGGATTAAGTTTATTTGGTCAAATACGTTTTGCAGCTCATCCAAGCTGCTTCTTCACTTCTGGGCTGGACAAATAAAGCCAAAGTTCAATGCATTCCTCCCATCACTGGTCATATACAGGGCATGACGTACGTTTCTCCTGTACAAAGAGGTATCCCTCCATGATGTGCTGGCTCACGCTCTTGTGCTCATGGGGGTTCTCCTTCATCTTCTTCATCAGACTCTCCACCTCCGAGCGCGTGCTCTCAAATCGGTTCCTCGTCTGGACAAAGCAAACAGGAATGCAGTTTTATGTACATGTCTGCATTTATTATTTAGAAAGTTAAAATACAAGTGTTAAATTAATTTAAAATGTGTAAATATTAAATGCTAAATTTAATCTTTTTCATATATTTTGGCTGTAAAGACAAAGTTTAACATCAACATAACTTCACAGGTATAAATGTATAAACCTATATACATTTAAGAAGCACTTTTATACTTAACTGTATGCAAGATTTTGATGTTAAATTTCAGAAACTTGACCTATCTGTGTCCTGAGACATGAAATAAACATGTTCAAATTAAATGTAGCTTAATAATAGCAATTGTAATGCTGTTTTATTCTTAATCACAAAAAACTGGACATGATTCAATACTGAAATCCAGTTGGTTTAAACCATAGACTGTATATATATGGACATAGTTAACCCACTACCCGCGTTCCAAATAGAAATGTGTTCATGGAGGCGCTTCTGGCTCTTTCAACTCTGTTTCCACACAACTTTACAATTGTTGACTTTGAGAGATTGTCATCCCTCTCTCTGTACCTAAAGCAGCAAACTTGGTAATTATGTATTAACGTGTTCATTTTGTCCGTTAATAAATTCCTACTCCTAAAATGGAACTGGCTTCACATTTTCTCCTCGATGAGCTTCATTTGACTGAAACCAAACGCTGTGGGTGACGTCACACTTCAGTCTACTTCTAAACCAACCTAAAAGGACTCTCTGTGATCTGAACGGTCACTACCTAAACCCCGGCACCTGCAGACAATCATGAAGTACACAGTTAATCTTGCCTCACGACTTTCATCTGATTTATGGACTGTCAATACACCGAGGAAAACGAGTATCTGCAGGTTACGGCGCCGGCGACTCAGGCTCAGATGTGACGTGATACCTTTTTTAAAACAGTAAATGCGCAGTTTCAATGTTGTGTTGGATTTCAGATTCTACAATGTGATGCAGAATAGGGGCAAGAGCCAGTTTTTCCATTGATAACTTTGTATTTTGCCATAAAAAATCCAAAACTCACTGTATTAGAAAAAAAATCTGCATTCCAACTATATTAACTTTAGCGGCCCCCCATCTGTATTAAATTTAAAGGCCTATAGAATTTTATGATGTCTTCTGAAACTGATTTTTTTCTATTTATGATGTAGTTTTTTTCCTGTGAAAAATCCAAAAGCTGAATTTATTACAAATATTGAACTTGTATTAGTGATTGGCATGTTGTTGGATCCTTACGTTCTGTATGCTGATGGTCAGGTTGGTCTTGAAGTGATTGAAGTCTTTGGCCAACTCGTATCCGTGGTGATAGTACGTAAACAGACCTTGGAGGAACGCTAGCAGCTGTGAAAAAAATAAAAAATAATAAAGTAAAGGGTTTGGCCTTATTTCCTTCAGATGATTAGTGTCAGGAGCCAAAAGCGGGAAGTGATGGTGTATTTCTGGTTGCCGTGGTGAACTTCTGTTGCCAAGAACAAGTCTAAACTGTTCTCTGTTTGACCGTTTTCTGTTTTAGTTATAGTGTAAATTGAGATAAGGTTAGTATGTGTTTTTCTTTTCTTTTCTTTTTTTTACACGCCAACAAACCCAAAACATTTTCCTAGCGTTAATGATAGGGATGTAACGATATCCGAACCCCGATACGATATTCTCACAATGGTACGATATTTATTGCGAATTTTGTGGAGGCAAAAAACCAACAAAAAACAAAATTGTGAATATGCTACTTTTCTCTCATGATAATCCAAATAATTAAAGATTAAAAGTGCTTAATAACAGTTATTTCAGCATGTAGACTGGACTGAAACAGAGGTCTATGTACTGTAATTTCCAGACTGAATATAACCTGAATATAAGCCGCCTCAACAAAATTTTAAAATTGTTCATATGTAGGTCGCGCCTGAATCTAAGCCGCAGGTGTCCACGTCTTCAAGAACGTTTTCAAGTTTGGGCTTCAATCTGCTTTTATCGCCTCTGAAAGTTTTTGTCGTCTTTTTGCATTGAGTCAGTTCGTCACGCTGCCGTCGCCAAAATCTCACCACCGACTCACTGACGTCGAGCTCACGTGCAGCAGCTCGATTTCCTTCTTCCACAGCCACATCGATGAACTTTTCTTCGTGTGTTTTCCATGAGGAGTGCGTGTGCAAGAAGCGCAAAATAACTGTTCAAAACACAATCAAACGAGCGTCTTTCTCTGCGTTTTACTCCCGTCTCTCCCTGTGGTTTACTGCGCATGTCTCCTGCAGAAAGAGCCGCTGTTCTGTCTGTATCATGTCAGCGTCTTGGAGGATTTCAGCAGATTTCAGACTCTCTCAGGGGGCGGGGCTAGTTCTGTCGATCAGGTATGAGTGGATGTCCGGCTACTGAAGTTTGAGACGTTTCTTCTCGTCATTTACGCATACGGGTAAGACGTATCCCCCTCACTAATGTTCATTTAGCATCATACCTTATTTTCTCACACGGCGATAAACGGTTTTAGTGCTCTGACAACATCCCTCGCAAACGCTCCAACTTCATGTTAACTCTAGAACCATGTGTTAACCGCACAGACGGCGACGTTTTCTGCATTCAGGCTCCGCGCATTCATGGTGTTGCCAAATGGACAATGTGCCAAACAAAGAATCCGTCTATATATTCTCCGCATCGTTCTATAAGCTGCAGGGTTCAAAGTGTGAGATGAATTTAAGCAGAGAAATTTGAGATTCGACATATTGCGAGGGCCTACGATATTATTCTGAGACTTTGGACGATGCGATTTCACGATATTTCGGTTATCGTTACATCCCTAGTTAACAAAAGCCCTGTTGCTATTTGATCAAGTTTTCTAACCTAAATTATAAGATGTAAACTTCATCACTTCTAATTACCGATCACAGTAGATCATCCCGTATTGCATAAGTATTGAATATAAATGTAATTAAGAAACCTGTTTTTAATGAACTTTGTAAGGAAATTTAATTATACGTGGCTTTATAATAATATTAAAAAGAGTGAGATGTGGATTCTTACAGGTTCCACAAAGTCAAACATCTTCCTCTCTTGGACCTCCTGAACTTTGAACACGTACTCCAGAGAAACCGCGTAAAAGTGCTGCCGTACGCTGTCCACCTGATTGTCCGCCTGGGGAGAAAAAGAACAAAAAAGCATATTAAAACGTACTACTGATTCATTTATAATATAAAAATACAGCATTAAAGGTCCCATATCACGTGCCACTGTGTACATTTTTCTTCGCACTACCTAATACTTAAAAACATGAAAAAATCTAATAAAGTAAAACTACTGAAGTACCTGTTTAAAAATTTACTTGAAGAGTAAAAAGTAAAAGTATTTTGCTGAGATTTTTAGAACAACTGAAGGATGATATGTAGTGATTTAGATCAAGAATTTTGCTGATTTTAAGTGATTCAATTTACTTATTTGTCTGGACAGGTCCAAAATAAGTGAGAGGTGGTTTCATTTTTCAGTTTGCAAAATGTACAGTTCGTGTCCATTGCCCTTCTAAGATTATTCTTAACTGAATAACAGCGATGTAGAAGTTTGTAGCAGATTAGAGTCCGGCTGCTAACAGGGCAGGAGCAGGGCGCTGTTTGGGAGGTGCACTTGTGGTTATAGTCGCTCTTTTTCCACGGTGACTCATTATAAGGCAAGTTTAACTGAAGATGGAGCCAAGTAAGATCTTTTTCAACGTTTGATGCAGCATCTTCACTCACATCTGCTCAAGCCACAGTCTTTGGGCGCTGGTGCTGGCCCTGTCCTGCCGCTTTTTCAGTTTAGGCTCCTGGCTCCACTAATGACATCACTCTGTTACAGCCAATGAAATAGCGGCATTTGTAACCCTGTCATCATATCACTGAATACATCTCAGAACGTCTAATAAACAAAGTGTAAACTAAAAAGTGTTAAATTAATACTATCGAGTTTGGAAAAATATTGGAATAAATTTATATTTTTGTTTATTAAAATAAAACAGCAAATATTGGTTGTGACATGTCCCCACCGCCTCTATACAAACCTAAGCCCTGGCTAAATGTGCTATAATGTAAAATGTAAAAATGTAAAAAAACAAAAAAACAAAAAAAACAAAAAATGTGTACATGTTCTTTGCACTACGATGAAATTTTTGGTTACTTACATTTTTGGCTACACAATAGCTGTACACGGTTGTATTTTTTACCTCTACTAACTAAGTACTAAGTGTGTTTTATTCTGATATTTAATTATTTATTTCAGCTCATGCATTTTTAACAAGATTGCACATTTAGAATCGTTTCTCACTGTTTAAATTGCGTTTATTGTGGCATAAATTTGTTGCAATAATACTGTTAATCTTCTATATTTACTTCAGCAATATATAACACTTCAAAATCTGTTCTCATGGCCTAGATACGTCAAATCCCATATTGTGGAACATTCCAGCTCCTCCTTCTCCGTGGAAACAAGCAGAAAAGGTTGCCCACTACATTTTTAAATTGTGTGGCCATATTATTCCTCCTTTGTACCTCATGTAGGTGGGACTCCTTCTTCTTCGCCGAAAGACTTAAATGTTTTTCCAAGACGGCGCAGTACTTTTCTGTTTCTTTGTCGTATTTTTTCTTGGCTTCCTGTAATAAAAAAAAAACAAACAAACAACAACAAAATTCATTAAAAACAACCAAATAAATCCGTTTTGATACAGATTTTAAGGTGCACTGTGTAACTTTAGGGAGATGTTATTGCTTTTTTGCTCTGGAATGTTTCACCGTATGATATTAAACCTTTCTGTCTTCAAACCAAATCAAGTTACAGGTCAGATCTGTGGAGAGGCGACCCGCTCACAGTCAGAATGTCTGTTTTTCTAGGTATTTTTGAGCGATAAAACCACTTAATGCCAGGTATTGCTATTCCAGGCAGAGCAATGACATATTCGTAGAAACAAGGAAAGAAAAGTTACACAGTGCACCTTTAACCTCTCTACTTGGGTGTTTGGGAGGAAGCAGCATCACACATTCGATATTGTGAGTTTTATGACAGCATTGTTAGGAGTGTGCGTTGAAATGGCCGCCGTGGGAGCACATCTGGTTATTAAACAATAGTGCTTCTCTTCAGTCCAGTCCAGAAACACACAGACAGTTTGATAATAAACCAGGGACAGACAGAGGAGAAGGGAGTGGCCACTGCAGCGTTAATATCTCCAAAAAACAGGCCTACAGAACCGTTTTATAGGGCTGACAAAACAAGAGAAGATGTCAAATTAGAAAACAGACAACAGCGGGTCACAAAAAGTCCACAGTGAAGCTTTAAATATAAGAAATGTGATTATTTAGAGTTACCAGATGAGACCATTAAACAAAGCACTGTTACTCAATGTATTAAAAATAAAGTTATTACAGTCTAAATAAGTCTTTTGGTCTCTCTGTACTTTGGTTTCAAGTATCTGATGAATGAAGTACTCAATTTTGTGACTTAAGTAAAAGTACAGATACAAAAGCAAGAAGTTATTCAAGTAAAAGTATCATATGAAAAAAAAATTACTTAAGTAAAAATTATAAAATACCTGTAAAAATATACTTAAAAAGTAGAAAGTAAAAGTATTTTGCAGAGATTTTTAGAACAATTAAAGGATGAAATGTTGTGATTTTGATACAGAATTTAGGTAATTTAAATGATTTAATTGATTTCTTATTTTTTGTGTTTTTGTGTAGTGTGTTGCTCAAAGTTAAATTAAATGTACTAAAGCAGGTCTCACACTGTAAAGAAAAGTACTTTTAACTTTTCAGTACAAATCCAAAATGTAGTGAAGTAGAAAGTATAGATACATGCTCTCAAATGTAGTGAAGTCCAATTAAAACATATACACTGTAAAACTGACTAAAGAGTAAAGTAGTAAAGTAAAGATATCTAAAATTTGTACTTAAGTATTGAACCTTTACTTACTTTACTAAAAAGAACTAACAGCATAAGGTTAACTACAGAACAGCTTTGTTAAAATACAAGTTTAATAGTAGGATTAGAATAGTATTCTTATACCAGTACCACAAGGGATACCGACTGAACCGATATCTTGAAAGCTGATATCTAATCCACCAAAACTGTCAATACTGGCTGATCCGATACTGATACTGACTATACATGCAATGGTCAGATGAAGAGAAGAGGTAGAGTGCTTCAGAAAAAAGTTATTTAAAAATGTGTAAAAAAAAAAAAAAAAAAGCAGTAAAGGTGCTCTACGAGGGTTAAGTTTACATCTCAGGAAAATGTAAAAATTAAAATGCATAAATGAACAAACCCGAAGCACACCGACAGAAAATATTAAAAGTCTTTTATTCAGAGTTACCACTCTTTTTCAGTGACAACATTTTTAAACTTTTCCATGACTTTTTCCTGACCTAAAGAGGAAATGTCAAGCCGGCTACACATAGACTATAGAGACATTATTTATTTAAATTTTTGTTATTATTTTATATTTTGCAAAAATTGCAAAACATTTATTTTAATAAGACAAGTTTTAACATTGCATATTTTGAAAGAAGAGAAAACATGCAGATGTTGTTGAAAATTTGCAATAAATATTTAATTTGACCTACGACTTAGTCACAATTTTTGAATTTTGGCCTCTGTGAATTTGAGTTTGACACCACTGACCTAAAATGAATTTTCCATGACTTTATGGGACCTACATGTGTAGAACGGATCAGACTTTTAGGACTAAATATGAAATGTTAACCCTTTCCACTCACCTTATGATTTGGTATTCTAGTTTTTTAACATTCAAATTACTGTCAGTGCATTTCATTCAGAAATACTCACAATAGTCTAATGAGAACTTAATAGAACAATGTAGTTGCGTGAAAGAGATACTAAAATTCCATGACTTTTCCAGGCTTGAAAAATGATATTTTCATTTTCCATGACTTTCCCAGGATTTCCTTGACCATGGGAACCCTGTTTATTAGGTGGAGGGACGCCAACGTGTTTCGACCAGAGAGGTGGGCTTCATCGGGGCATAAGGGTGGAACGGGGGACACAAGTGTCATTAAACACAACTGCATTAGAATCACGAGACGCCGTCAAAGTTTGGCCAACCTCGAGGAATGAATTAGAACAAATAAGAATGAACAGGCAGACCCACAAAAAGCAACAAGACAAAAACGCAATGCTGACAATAGGTAAGAGATTCCATCGTGTGTGCATCAATAATAAATACACAACAAGAAACCACAGTACCACAGATCAAAAACATCATTCATATACATTAAACATACAAATGCAATGGTGTTTAATGTTTAGTGAATGCCTTTAAGGGACAGGACTCAGGTGGGATTTGGTTTGGACAAAAACTGCAGAAGTAGACGGAGAGTGTGCATGAGCCAGAGGAAAGAGCAGCTGTGAAATGCATTAGTGATGACAAACAACACAACCCTGTCTACTATTTAACTGTTTCAACACAACAACATCACTACCTGGTCTGAAAATACTCACTACATTTATATTTTCAGTATTTAGCATTTGTTTTTATGTGGAGTGTGGAGAAAATGCGTCATGTAGTGTAATGTTTTTAGAGTCTACTCCTGTTTTTAGGGTGTAAATATAAAATGCTAATATTGCAAATAATGTTAAAGCAAAAAGCAAAAAGAAATGGTATTTAAATACACACTTTGTCAACTAGGAGAAAATATATATATAAAAATGAACGCCTGCATTTATACATTCTACCAGCAGAGGGCAGTGTTGATCTGGAAAATCAGTTTGTCCTTTCACAACTTCATTTTACAATTTCCTTCCTTAATTAACCTGTTTACAAACTACTGCTTTCAGTTTATGTGCTAATAAAGGTGCATTCTGTAACTTTTCGGTTGGGGTTTCTATGGAGATGTCGTTGCTCTGCCCGGAATGTTCCGCAGTATGACATTAAACAGCTCTATCTTGCATTTATTCAATTACAAGTAGGTTTAAAGCTCAAAATTACTTAGACAAACAGGTATTGTGACTGTGAGCAGGGTCGCCTCTCCACAGATCTGACCTGTAACTTGTTTGGTTTGGTCTCCATGAAGATAGAAAGGTTACACAATGCACCTTTAAACTTTAAAATTTACAATGAAAACCAAACAAACAAACAAAAACAAAAAAAAAGACAAAAAATGACTTCTTCTATCATTCAAGGTGCACTGTGTAACTTTTCTAGTGGAGGGATTGCTACCTCCTCATCGCCATGGAGATGCTGTTGCTTTGTCCAAAATGCTCCTCATTATTGCATTCAACGTATCTATCTCCATAGAGACAAAAAAGTGACACCACCAAGCCAAGTTACAAGTCAGATCTGTGTTTTTTTTAAGCAGGTCTGTGTTTTTTTAAGCAATAAGAACATCTGTAATTAAACAAATGTAAGACAGATTTTTAAGTTTAATGCTACTGTGGAACATTTCAGACAAACCTTGAAATCTACATGGCAAAAAATCAGAAGAGACCCTCCACCATAAAAGTTACACAGTGCACTTTTTATCTTTTTTTTTAATCATTGTCCTGGTAAAGCATTATTTACTAGATACTCATTTGAGCAAGTGTAGATGCTCTCTGATAATCAGGAAGTGCACGTTAGCATGAACCCCGCTCTGGTGTCTATACGTTGTGAAAAGCTCTTATAAACTCATTGCAGTGAATGATTAGAACAATCTGAATGTGTGAGGTAAGGGTGGAGAAACTATGGACCAATGTTGTCATAGTACTCGAGGCCGGGCTCAAGTCCAAGACCGTTTTTTTGCAGCCTTGGTCTCGTCTCGGACTCGAATGCGTTTGGACTCGGTCTTGTCTCGGTCTTGAAGGTGTTTGGACTCAGTCTCATCTCGGACTCGACCGCGTATGGACTCGGTCTTGTCTCAGACTTGACCACGCTTCTGCTCGGGCTTGTCTCGGTCTTGAAGGTGTTTGGACTCAGTCTTGTCTCGGTCTCGAGGTCTGACACTCGACGAGTGATAAAATGGAGATAGATTTATAAAAACGTTGATATACATGAGCCAAAATAACTGTAAAATACAAATAAATGCCAAAAATTACAAAGATGGTCTCAATTTGGTCTCGATGGGCCATGGTCTGGTTCTTGTCTCTGTCTCGGCCTTTAAAAGTCTTGGTCTTGTCTCAACCCTCAGGTCTTGGTCTTGTCTTGGTCTCAACTCTCAGAGGTCCTGGTCTTGCCTCGGTCTCGGCCTTTAAAAGTCTTGGTCTTGTCTTGGTCTCGACTCTCAGAGGTCCTGGTCTTGCCTCGGTCTCTGCCTTTAAAAGTCTTGGTCTTGTCTTGGTCTCGACTCTCAGAGGTCCTGGTCTTGCCTCGGTCTGCCTTTAAAAGTCTTGGTCTTGTCTTGGTCTCGACTCTCAGAGGTCCTGGTCTTGCCTCGGTCTCTGCCTGTTTAAAAGTCTTGGTCTTGTCTTGGTCTCGACTCTCAGAGGTCCTGGTCTTGCCTCGGTCTCGGCCTTTAAAAGTCTTGGTCTTGTCTCAACCCTCAGGTCTTGGTCTTGTCTTGGTCTCGACTCTCAGAGGTCCTGGTCTTGCCTCGGTCTCTGCCTTTAAAAGTCTTGGTCTTGTCTTGGTCTCGACTCTCAGAGGTCCTGGTCTTGCCTCGGTCTCGGC